CACTGTCGGGGACATAGACTCGACCTCGGTGTAGAAGTAGATCGTTATGCAGCTCGTAGTCGATAGCAGTTGTCTTTCCTGCTTCTATCGACTGGCGCAGTTCCTGGCAATTGGTATCCTCTACTTGCGCCTTCCTGATCTCCTCCCAAATGGCCCAAGTAGGCCCAGTGATCGCACTCAACTCGGCCACGTCTGTTCGCCGGGATAGTGCGTCGGCTACTGCGTTCTGGCGACCTGGTCGATAGATTATCTCGAAATCAAACCCCATAAGTTTAGACACGAACTTCTGTTGCTCGGGGGTAACAATTCTTTGCTCCAATAGGTGCTTGAGCGGTTGCTGATCGGTAACAATATGAAATCGCCGGCCTAGTAGATAAGGCCTCCAACACCGTACAGCCTCTACAACTTCTAACATCTCTTTCACGTATACTGACAGACCCAGTCGCGTAGTGCCTAATGCTTTGCTGAGATAGGCTAGGGGTCGCCCCTCTTGCACTAACACAACCCCAATTCCAATGTCGCTTGCATCGGTATGTACCTCGAACAAGACATCAAATCTGGGCATGGCGAGTACTGGCGTTGTTTTCATGGCTTCCTTTAATTTTCCAAACGCCTTCTCGCTAGCTTCGGTCCATGTGAATCCGCCTTTCTTAGTCATTGCTGTCAACGGTTTGGCGATGGTTCCATAATCCTTTACAAACTTTCGGTAGTACCCTGTAAGCCCCAAAAATCCTCTCAACTGTGTGAGGCTAGTGGGCTTAGGCCAGTCGACCATAGCCTCAATTTTTCGTGGGTCGACCTTCACACCGTCATGTGATATGAAATGTCCAAGATATTCAACCATCTCCTGCCCGAATGAACACTTGGACGGCTTGATGTGGAATGAGTTGGCCTCCAGAATTTCGAGAACTATCCTTAGATGCCCAAGATGTTCGTCCCATGACTTTGAATAGATCAGGATATCGTCAAAGAATACCAGAACGAACTTACGCAGGTACTCCTTGAAAATAGAGTTCATGGCGAACTGGAAAGTGGATGGAGCGTTACACAAGCCGAATGGCATAACCAGATACTCATAGTGCCCCTGGTGTGTACGAAAGGCTGTCTTTGGGATGTCAGCTTTGTGAAGTCGAATCTGATGGTAGCCAGCTCTTAGATCGAGCTTAGAGAAATAGCGTGATCCAGCTAACTCATCAAGCATATCGTCGACACTGGGGATTGGAAATCTGTCCTTGATGGTTGCAGCGTTTAGAGCTCGATAGTCAGTACAGAATCTCCACGTGTCGTCTTTCTTTTTAGCCAACAGAACTGGAGAAGAGAAGGGACTCTTGCTATGCTGTATGAGACCTGATTCAAGCATCTCGGCCACTTGCCGTTCGATCTCGGTTTTCTGGAAGTGAGCGTACCTATAAGGGTGGACGTGTATGGCATGCTGTTCATTGACCAATGGTATGCGATGGTCGAACTCCCGGTGCGGTGGTAGTCCTTTGGGCTCGCCTAGGACTCCATCAAACTCTTCGAGAAGCTCACGCACATCTCCCTGTTGTTGCGCGTCCTTGCCCGAGTGCGCTCCCACATCTTCGACTACTACGGCAAAGATTTGGCCTCCACCACGCCAAACTTTCTCGATGCTCTTCAACCCTACTTCCTTAGCTTCTTTGTCAGTGCTGGTGCTGAGGGTGACCTGACGACCTTCGGATTTGAACTCCATAATTCCTGTTCGATAGTCGGTCGTCACCTTGCCCAGTCCTTCGAGCCATTGGACGCCCAGCACTACATCTGGTCCAACCAGGGGTAAGGCATATAGATCCGCCTTCACCGTAACTCCGCTAAACCTGATTGGCACCTTCCGGAAGGACTTAGTGCATTGCAGCCTCTCCCCGTTGGCTACCCGTACCTCAAAGGGTTCAATATTCATAGTTGGCAAGTTCAGTTTTTGAGACAACTCGGCGTTGATGAAATTGTGGGATGACCCGTTGTCTACTAGTACCATCACCTTTCGATCTTTGACCCACGCTGGTAAGCGCATAGTCCGAGGACCTCATATCCCGGCCATAGCGTGCATCGAGATTTCAGGCTCATCTTTGAAGTCCTCAGTCTCGTCGTCTTGAGGCGGTTCCTCCTCGACCTCATCCTCTTTGTCGTCCGGGTTGGCCACCTCAATGACAAAGGCTTGCTTGCACTGATGCCCCGGGGTAAACTTCTCTTCGCACTTAAAACAGAGACCCTTCTCACATCGCCGTTTGACCTCCTCCGGCGATAGGTGTCGGACTAATGCCCCCGCTGGCCGTGTATTGACCGCAGGCCGAGCGCCCGTGGGTACTTGGCTTGGGCCCGTGCGACGTG